TGGTGACTAAAATTGAATGCAGTATTCCAAGTGTGGCTTTACCAAGGCATTGTAAAGTGGTATTAACACTTCACGTGATCTTGATTCCCTCCCTCTGTTTATGCAGCCTAAAACTGTGGTGGCTTTTTTGGCAGCTGCTGCACACGGATGGCTCATATTTAAATGGTTGTCCACTAGGACTCCAAGATTCCTTTTACAGTTACTACTGTTGCGCAAGGTACCACCTCTACTGTACCTGTGCATTTTGTTTTTGTTGCCTAAATGTGGAACCTTACTCTTTTCACCATTGAATTTCATTTTGTTAGATAGTGCCCAATGTTCAAGTTTGTCAAGGTAATATTGGTATTGGTCAGAGTTCTGCCATTTTCTCCTTCTTTAGGCCAGTGTTCCTCAACCTAGCAACTTGAAGGTGTGTGGACTTCAACTCCCAGAATTCCCCAGCCAGTCTAACTGGCTGGGGAATTCTGGGAGTAGAAGTCCACACACCTTCAAGTTGCCATGTTGGGAAACTCTGATCTAGACCAAGCGGTTGGAAAATTGTAAAAAATGTAAGGTTAGGGTTACGCTTAAGGTTAGACTTTTCCCCTGACCAAACAAAGATTTCTTAAGCCACCTTCGTTTCCAGCTGCTTTACAAACCAGTGTTCAAGCTGCTGAAGTGTGTGCCAAACCCTGTGTTTGGAATTCAGAAATGTGAAGGACAACCAGAATCAACATGCGCCCATTCTCACAACCGCCCTGCCCAAGATGGATGACGAACACGGCAAAAAAAACCCACAGCACATACCAGCACTTCGTAGGGAGCATTGGGCACAAAGTAACGCTTGGTTTTCGACAAGTCCACTGAGTAAGGCGATGATATAAATTTAACCGAGGTGAGTTCTTGTTCCTCCAGCTCTCCACCTAGGAGAAGGAAGAAAAGGTCAACAAGCCACCCTTGAATTGAACCACGTTTTACAGAGATGCTGAAGTCCCAGGTTAGATGAAAAGAAGGTTAACAAATCAGTAACATATACAGGTAGACCTTCTTTTAGCAACCATTCAAAAGCTACAGTGGCACTGGGAAAAAGTGACTTATGACTGTTTTTTCACACTTACGACCGTTGTAGCATTTCCCCATGGTCACGTGATCAAAATTCGGATGTTTGGCAACTAGTTCTCATTTATGACGGTTGCAGTGTCCTGGGGTCGTGTTGTGCGATCCCCTCTTGTGACCCTTTGACAAACAAATTCCCTGGGGAAACATTTATTCATTTCACCACCATGTTACTAAATTAACAACCGCAGCGATTCACTTCACAGCTATGGCAAGAAGTCGTGCAAAACTCACTGAACAACCATCTCGCTTAGCAACAGAAATTTTGGGCTCAATTGTGGCCGTAAGCCAAAGATTGCCTGTATTTGCTTTGTTTCTCTCATCAGTGTTCAGGCTGGCTCATTTCACACAGTGGGAGCTTAAAGTTTCTTAAGGTGAAGGTAAAANTCCATTCCATTCTAGTCTATAAAAATTATTTTATTTCTCGTCCTACCCTCAGGGGCCCAAATGTGCCCATCAAATTCCCAATCATCATTGCTATTTTACACCAGGAGTCGAAACAAGGAGTTGTGTCCCCAAGTGAGTCAGAAGAGTGGCTGAAGCAGAAGGCACCATACCTTGCCTTGTGAGAGTCGATTCTTCCCGTTGAGAGCGTAAACGGCAGCATCCGTGGCAGAGAGAGAGACGAAGGATTTGTCATCCGTGTTTAGGGTGAGTGACACGCGGGACTGTGGCTTTAGACGGTCTACGTTGGACGAGGAGCGAATCTCCAGCTGAAGGTTAGAAAGACAGAGTGAGGGAGAAGGAGGACAGCCAACCACAACTACTTCCTTGATCTCTAGGTGGGAGGAGTGACAACTTCATGAATGACCTGGGAATCCCAGAAGCGCCCTCCGAAATATTTGGAAAGTAATGGGTTGGTCTTTCCTTATTTTTCCTTCCTTGCTCTCTTCCCCCTCGTTCCTTCTTTTGCTTTGCCTTTCTTCTTTCCCTTTCTCCTTTCCTGTCCCTTCTTGCAAGCTCAAATGCAAAAGGGGAAACATTTCCCCTTTTGTTCTGTTTTCGGTGGCCTAAAGGTGGAGCTCCTGCCTCACAAACAGGAGGTTGTGAGTTCGATCCTAGGTAGAGGCAGGTGTAGGGTCTCCTGCTGGGCAGAGTTCGGACTAGATGACCTGCAAGTTCCCTTCCAACTCTGTTACAATCTGTTACTTCAGTTTGTTTTGATAGCCCTCTGCCAATGAAAATGAAGCTCAGGGGGGTCACTGCATCCCATTTTCGGCTGCAACGGCCTCCTGCAACCATCTGCCATTGAAAATGGAGTGCGGGGGGCTGTGTGCATCCCCCACGTGCTCCATTTTTGCTGGCAGAGGCACTGCGGGCCGGTCCTTTGCTGTTTCCAGGCTGGCCCCATGGGCCAGATCTAAGCAGTCTGTAGACCGGATTCCAGCCAGTGGGCCTTGAGTTTGACACCCCTGCACCAGGGGTGGGTTCCGGGAGGTACAGCCCGGTACGGGCGTACCCGTGGCAGCTGGGAGCAGCGGCCACTGTACCGGAACAGTGGCTCGTTGGGCCCACCTGCCTGCCCATTTTCCTTACTGCTTTTTGAGGGAAATGGGCCAATTGCACATGCGCGCACAGCATACAGCGCTTCGGCGACCTCGGCCAAGCAGCTGGAGCGTTGCAGGGTGGTGGCGTGGCGCATGCATCTGCAGCGCACGTCCCTGAGGTGGACGTCTGGCCCCGTCGCAGCGTACCGGTTGCGACGGGATCCGGAACCCACCACTGCCCTGCACTACACCAAAAACCAAGCCAAGGCTGGAACGGAATGCGGGTATGTGGCAGTGAGTGAAACAACTGACTGTCTTAGAAACAAATCACTGGCACAAAACTCTGGAGTGGATTCGGAAACGCAGACCCCTCCTAAATGCAACATACCTTCCCCTCGCAGCGGGCGACCACCTCCAACCATATGGAGTTAGAGACAATTTCATCCCCAAGGCGGTAAAAGGCCACGACACGAAACGTTGGCATCAGATTGGGTGTGATGTGAATAGAGGCTGCTAAGTGAGAGCCACGCGGAATGCTGCTTACAGAGATGATGTCCCCTTTGCTCAAAACCTGCAAGGAAACAGTCAAAAAAGTACTTAACACAGAGGCACATCTTCTAGAAATTAAAAATCAAATCAAATAATAATCCCATAACCCAGTACAGGTAGTCCTCATCTTACGGCCACAACCGAGCCCCAAATTTCCATGACTGAGTGAGACATTTGTAGAGTTTTGCCCCATTTGGCAACTTTTCCAGGCGCAGTTTTGAAGTGAATCACTGCCATTATTAAATTAGTAACGCGGTTGGTTTGGTGAATCTGCCTTCCCTATTGCTGGTCAGTAGGTCGCCAAAGTTACATGGCCCAAGGACACTGGAACCCGTCATAAATAGAGGCTAGTTGCCAAGTGAAGGGGTTAGAATTGCAGGCTACTTCTGCTGACTGCCGGCTGCCAGTAGTTCGGCAGTTGGATTCTCACTGGCTCAAGGTTGACTCAGCCTTCCATCCTTCCTAGGTAGGTAAAATGAGGAGCCAGATTGTTGGGGGGGCAATAGCTGACTCTGTAAACTGCTTTGAGAGGGCTGTAAAGCTCTGCGAAGTGCTATATACTGTATTTTTCGGAGTATAAGACGCACTAAGATTTTGAAGAGGCAAATAGAAAAAAAGGTTTTTGCACTCTGCAGACCTCTCAAAAATGGTCTGTTCCCCCCCCCTCCTCCCAAAAGGGCATGAATAGCCTTTAGGAGGCTTGTAGAGTGCTCCCGGGCGAGGGGGGGTAAAGTGAGCAAAAGACGGCCCATTTTTCATGAAAACAGGCCTGTTGTTTGTCAAAAAAGGGCATGCCTAGCCTTTAGGAGGCTTATAGAGTGCTCCCGGGGGCTGGGGGAGCAAAATTGAGCAAAGAAACAGCCCGTTTTTCACACATTTCTGCCCTCCCCAGCCCGCAGGAGCACTCTAAAAGCCTCCTAAAGGCTAGGCACGGCTATTTTGGTGAAGGTGGCAGGGTTTTGGGAGGCAAAAAATGCTGTATTCAGTGTGTAAGACACACCCAGATTTTCAGCCTCTTTTTTGAGGGAAAAGGTGCATCTTGTACTCCGAAAAATACGGGTAAGTCTATTGCTATTATGGAGGGACAGTTCCAATGAAAGATTTATCATCTATTTATTTATCTATCTAATCTATCAATCTACTCTATCAATCTACTCTATCGATCTAATCTATCTATCTATCTATCTATCTATCTATCTATCTATCTATCTATCTATCTATCTATCTATTTATCTATCCATCCATCCATCCATCCATCCATCCATCTACCCATCTATCATCTACCTAACTCTCTCTCTATTTATCAATGTCTTCTATCATCTATTATCATTCATCCATCTATGGTATCTATCTATCTATCTATCTATCTATCTATCTATCT